CTTTATAACATTACATCTCCTTTCTTTGAGCATGACTATTACAACAGAGACAAAATGATTCACTAATGTTTTTAAGACTTTATCCTGATTTACAAAGGACTGTAATCCAGATCATCTCTCTTGCTTCTCAGAAAAATACCAGGAATTGTTTTTAGTTGAAGTATTCAAATCTTAGAGATGATAGGTGATTAGTCCAAACTCACATTGCCAAAGTGTAATTTAGGGTTAGGATTTGAGGTTTAGGTTTTTCTAGTCTTAAATCATTGACTCTTCCTAAATCACTGCTACTTTGGTTTTTTGTTGTTGTTTTTTAGAAAATTCTGTGTAAACATACCAATAAAACTCTGCTTCTGAGGGTCATTTGAGAACATGTGCACATGAGAAATTATTGTCGAGGAATGTAGCCTATAACCCTTGACATTTTTCTGACAATAAAAACTATTATTTACTGGGCATATTATGTTTACCATGCCTCATTGTGCTAAGTAGTTTAAATTTTCACTACAGTCATGTGTATGTATAGATATATATAAATATAAATGTACATAGTTGTATGTGTGAGACTTGCTGTGCCTCACATACCAGTAGTTGACTGGGTCAAAATTCTAGCAGTTTAGCCTAAGATTATTATAAATAATAGCCGCTACTTTAGACATTCAATTTCTCCCTTTGTAGACTATTATTTTGTCTTTGAGATGCACAAATTATCATTTGAACATGCTTTCTTTTATAAATCTTAAAATTTCTAACTAAGCATGGTGATGCATTCCTATAATCCCAGCAACTGGGAGGCTAAGGTAGGAGAATTGTTGGGAGTTTGAGACCAGCCTGAGCTCCAAAGTGAGCTTAAGACCATCTAGAATGGCATAATGAAACCCTGTCTCAAAAAGACAAAAAAAAAAAAAAAAAATTCCTGTATGTTTGTTTTGTCACAGACACAAGGGAACAAAAAGCAAAACTGTGATTTGCAAAATAATTCTAACAGTTGGATTTAATTTTACTAGTTTAACAAGAAAAATTATTATTTTAAAATTTTATTTATTTATAACTTTTTGGTACTGGGGGTTGAACCCAAAACCTCACCCGTGCTAGGTGAGACACTCTGCCACAGAGCCCTCTTTTCTCAATTTCATTTTGGTGTAAGGTCTCACTAAATTGCCCAGGCTGACCTGAAATTTGAAATCCTCTGGCCTCAGTCTCTTGAGTAGCTGAGAATACAGGAGTACATCACTATGCTCGGCTGCAAATTCATTTTTAGGGTTATATTTATGTTTCTTCTGTACATAAAAATGTTTTTTTAAACTCAAGTCTCCATAGCTTATCTATTGATTTGTTCTGTTATGAATATTCCCTCCCAAAACAATATAAGACCTGATTATCCCCAAACTTGCAATGACCCTTCTACCTCAGCATTCCAAGTGCTGGGATTAGAGGTATGACACCACATCGCAATGGTTTCATTTTTGACCAAAGAGAAAACCAGGACTATCTTTTGGAGACACAGAACCTTAAGTGAATACATTTTCACTACATGCTCACTTTTGGCTTTCATTAATTTTTGTTTTTCTTTTTCTGTTGAAAAATAGGCTTTGGTAACCTTTGGAAGGAACCTTGTAAGAGAAAAAATATTCACCAAAGGGCAACATTTATCCTGAATTACTGGGCATGGTGGTGCACACCTGTAATTCCAATACTCGGGAGGCTGAGGCAGGAGGTTCTTTAGGAGTTCCAGACTAACCTGAGTTACAAAGTGAGTTCAAGGCCAGGCCAAACTGCAGAGGGAGACCCTGTTTCAAACATACACATGCACACATACACATGCACACACACCCACACACATATACACTCAAACAAACAAAAACATTTATCCTGAATTGAAGGTGAGATGGGTGGGCATTTATGAAGCTTTTCTATATGCCAGTGTTGTAAGCATATACACAATTTACTGAGTGTGCTGCTGCTGTTGATCTATAAAATTTTCACCACAGTGGTGCAAAATGAGGTCACAGAGCCTCAAAGAAGTTAAGCAATTTGCCCAAAGTCACATGACCAATTGTTGACACAAACTAGTTTCAGGACAGTCTGCTTTCAGTCTGTGCTATTTTTACTATATCCTTCAGTTTTGCTCACGCAATGCTGGGAAAGAACTTTTCTGAGATTCCAAGCTGGTAAACCCAAAGAATAAGCCCCAATTGACTTCACTCTGATCTCCTGAACAAAATGTAGCTTTAAGTACTATTCTGAAAGTTTTTCATAATTAAAAAAAATGCCTTTTTAGAAGTTTCTGATTGTTACAGCAAGTCTCTACTTCACTTTTCCATGGAGCCAAAGCTTTTGTAAATGGAGAGAAGACAAAGAGTTGAGAGAAGAGGAGGGACATGGGGGAAAAAGAAGAATTAAAGTACGTTATGTACAGGTATTGTAGTTTGGGGTTTGCAAGAGCAAGACAATATGGGACACATAATTTATAGTATTATTTTATACCAGTCACACAAAGAGTCAAAAACAGAAGAAAGAGTGTAAAAAATCTGTCCACACTTTAAGACTCAAAGAAACCAGCTGATGGCAACATCCTGCATGAGGCCAGCCGAAGACCTAGAGCCCATGGCAATGTCGCATGCAAGTCTGTTTTATGGATCTACTCTGGGAAGGTCCAAAGGTCAATGGTGGAAACTAGAAAGTCTATGCCAGTGGGATAAAGGATCTGTGCTAGTAGGCTGAGGGTTCTGCACCAGAACTAGGAAGCTGATGCTCAAAGTAAGGAGCATAGCTCGCTTAAAGTGAACCACCGCAATTCTCAGCAACAGCGAGGTCCCAAGCTCCTCTTACGATGAGAACAACTAACTTTGTATTAGGAAAGAAGCTTGACAAGCTCCTCCAGGACAGCCCATAGCAATAGGAGAACCAACAGCACTGTGGCGAACCAGCAACACCACACTCTTCCTCTCCAGTTCTTTTTATCTTGGCAACAGTCCTCAGGTGGGCCATCTACACTCAGTACACGCTGATTCAATTCAGCAGATATACAAGTTTACCACTATATTAGTTTACCACAGGTACAGATTCCTTATGACAAATGTGACCATTACACGTGCCAAACATGTACTAAAAAACCCCCTCATTTTTCCAGCAGTTGGAGGCTTTACAGTGAGTGCAGTGTTTACGCTCTCAGGGGCAGGTCACTGGAGCTGGTGGGGACACATGTTTCTTTGACATGTTCTAAAAATAATACACTGTAGACCAATTCTAGATCTAAGTTCAAACTCAATTAGAAACAAGAGGTGTCTAGTGAAATGTTTCAGAGCATAAACTGCAGGGTCAGACTCAGGCTTGCCCCTACCAAGTATAAAGAATTTTTTGAATTATTTTCCTTACACTGGAAAATCAAACACTAAAACAACTTAGTTTTGTTTTGTTTGATTCAGGATCTCACTGTACAGTTCAGGCTGTCTTTGGACTCACTATTTGGCTTAGGCTGCCTCAAACTCACACTGATCCTCCTGCCTTAGCCTCCCAAATGGTTGGATTACAGATGTGTGCCACCATGCTCAGCTAAAACGGATTTCGCTTGAATTCTGTGATGGCAGTTTTTACATCACCATCAAATTGTTTCCCATAAGGATGGTACCAATTTGTACTTTCCTCTACAAAATAATATATAGTTAATTTTTGATTTTGCAAAACTAATGAAAAATAGTATCTTAGTTTTTGTGTGTATATCTATTTTAAGTGTATCTTCCTTGTATATTTAAAAATTACTTATAGATTCTTTAATTCAGAAATATGCCATACATTAATCTAAATATAGGCAAATAAGGAAGCTAGTAGAAGGAAGTATTTAGCATAGAACATGCTGTTAGATGGTTCAGATGCAACATAGAGAAGACAAGATACCTGCAATAAAGATGAGTCATAAAATTATTTGAGCAAGAGAAGCTGACTCATAGTTAAAAATGTGTTTTGAGAAGCTTTGGACAGTGTAGAAATGGATTGGAAGTGGTAAGATATTAAGATGGGTTAAAGGTTTGCTGCAAATTCTGAACTAAGACATTGCCAGAAAGAAGAAAGTCATTGAAACCAATTTGAAAAGTGTTTCAGAAATCAACAGAACTTGATGACCTAATAAATGTCAAGAAAGAAAGATATCATTTAGGCAAATGAAATGATTTCTAGTAAAAGAATAAAGGTAAGGAATTTGATCTCATCAAACATCTACTAAGTAAAGGTTTATGATGCATCTTTATATACATATATGAGATTGAATATATATTCATATATATATGTGTGTGTGAAACTGGAAATGTACACACATTGCATGTATTCAATTATGCAGCATCTATAACAGGAAAACTTAATAATCCATTTAAATATAAAACATCTAACTAGAAAAGTAACATATAAAATACAAACCTATTGAATTTCTTGGGAGGAGTCATATCAGAATTCAAAGTCAGACATTTAGAGAGAAACAAGTCTTACATCAGGCAGGGATGCAAACTATTTGCAATACTTGCAAAGCACTGGGGATTATTTCCTGAGCTCTCACATCATCAGTTTAGTTTATATATGATAATTCTCAAAGGAATCCACTAAAATTCACAACTGTCTCTATTATGAACTGATGAGCCAGTCTCTTTACAGGGAGGGAAAAAACAAACCTGTTTTCTTATTACTTGGCAACTTGTTTGGAAAAAGTGTCAAATTGTATGAAAACTTTTTTTTTTTTTGTCTTTTTTTCCTTTTTATGGGTACCAGGGATCCAACTCACGACTGCCTGCTTGCAAGGCAGGCGCTTATGCCGCTGAGCTAAATCCCCAGCCCCAGTGTATGAAAACTTTTGACACTGCAAGCATAGTCATATTCAAACATTATCCAAAAACGCATCATCAAAAAGATACTATCTTTTTTTTTTTTTTTTTTGGTACCAGGAATCAAACTCGACCTCACACTTGCTAGGCAGGCGGTTATGCCATTGAGCTAAATCTCCAGCCCCTCAAAAGATACTATTTTGACAGGAGAGGAGAATAAGAAGTCAACAAGAAGCTAAGACCTCCTGTGAGTCAGCGTCATACACCGGCTGACTGAGGGACAGCCAGATGCCAGCCGTCTCCTGTGAGTCGACACCATTCTCAGGCTGCAGGGGAGAATAACAAGAACTCAACAAGCAGCTAAGACTACCTGTGAGTTGGCACCATGCACAGGCTGACTAAGAAAGAGCCGGACGCCAGCCCTCACCTGTGAGTCAGTACCATTCGCAGACTGTGGGGAGGAGAATAAGAAGTCAACAGGAAGCTAAGACCTCATATGAGTCAGCACCATGTGCAGGCTGACTGCAGGAGAGCCAGACACCATCCCCTTCTGCATGCAGGCAGGGAGACCGGAAGAGCCAGGGCACCACCTTTCCACCCTCCTCATAAGCGACCAGCTGATCTGGAGAAACACAGGTTGTGATGATAACTAATGAGGTAAAATACAAGTTAATGCTTGCAGTTTTTAGTGTTTCACTGACATTGCAGGCCTAAAGTCAGTAGTCTGATCATCTATTAAGAGGAAGACAATATGCAATGTAGCATCTATGGAGATCTGCTTCTGAAGCTGGTAGCCACTGCTAATTCCCTATTATCTCATTGTTTTGTTTGATTGGGTTTTATTCTGTTTTATCTTGTTTATGTATTATAATTAATGGCATGGGCAGCTATGTTGAAGATAACAAGGTATATTATGGTAACCATTTTGGATTTACTATTATCTCATTTTGAAGTCCTATATTGCATTCAATGTTTTGTTTTTATTGGTTCTGTTTTGCTCTATTTTGTTTGATTTTACTATGTCTGAAGGTATGGGCAGCTGTTTTGAAGACAAGAGGCATTATGGCAACCATTGTTGATTTTCTATTATCTTGTTTTGAAATCTGTGTCATTTATATTGTCTTGTTTTGATGCTCTTTAAAATAAAATTTTAAAAAAAGACAGTATCTTCATCAAATAAATCAATTGTTAAACAGGAAGGGGACTGTGAATGCATAATTACAATAATGACTTTGAAAGAAAAATTAGCATAAAGACTTTTGAAAGTGTTGTGGGGAAGAAAAGTGTGATTACTTGGAACCTAATGTTTTATGTGTAAAACTAAACTCTAATCATTGTTTATTTCAAAGAAATTATTTATGTTTCACTCTTAATATTCATGAACCTGCTAGCTTTCTTCTATATGTGTTATTACTTTTACTCTCAGCCTTTTTAGAGGATAAATGCCTTCATGGTTATAACCAGCTAGTACTTGACTGATATACCAAATTTGTAAATAAGACAGTTTTTTGAAAAGTAAAGCACAAAGCCAAAATATAAACATTGACAAGAATATCCAATTATAAATTAACATAATTCCCCAAGTATTGAATTTGAAAGGTACAAAACAACACAATAACTCTTCCTTTTTTAAAAATTTATTAAGGAGAAAAAGAAAAAAAGCAAAGAAAGGGTACAAGTTATACAGATTTATAGAAAAAAATAAACAGTAGGAAATCACTAGTTAATGGATTACATATTGTCATCTTAGAAATAATTGTTCAAGTTACAAAATTAAAGCTTATAAAGTGAACATTCCAACAGTGAGACTGCAAACAGTTCTGTTCAATGATCCAACAAAACTCAGTAATATCATCATCTATCTTATACACTTAAGTATACATGCAGTTATATCGTTTAGAGCACTTTCTTTTCCTCTCTTTTGTATAATGACAATTACACATTTTGGGTTTTGTTGCTCCCACAGTTCTTATTACTTTTTTGGAAGAGAATAGAACCAAATGTGACATAACAGAACAGAGTCAGTCAAATCAAAAGGGTGGACATAATAGATAATGTAAAAGCATAATACAAGGTGATCAACAATGGTTACCATAATGCCTCCCGCTATCTCTAATAGAATTGCCTATATCATCAGTTATAATAAAATTGAACAAAACAGTAAAGAACAAAACTGGCAAAACCAAAACATTGGAGACATTATAGGTCTTCAAAAGTAGATAATAGTCAACCAGAATGGCGTCATAATGAATCCCACTATCTTCACAGCTGTTGCCTAAACTTTCGAACCTGGTACTATCAAGCAAAACAGAATAGGGGGACATCAGTCAAAACAAGATGGTGAGAGCAATACAGGGCTTTAAATCAAGAGAATGGAAAGTCAAAGTGGGTTACTATAATATATCCTGCTATTTTTAAATTTATTTTTTCTTAATTAAAAGGATAAAAAAAGTAAATAATAAAATGGAGATTGAGATAAAAGAGGGCATAACAGCAAATCAGCGCAGATCAAAACATAACCATTTAAGCAAAATAGTGTTTCACCACAAGATAATCCCGACATAAAAGTACTTACCATATTGTCTCTTTCCTTGAAATCTTTGAGTATAACTTTGTATACTGTAGCATCAAATAACACAATAACTCTTAAAAAGTTAACATAAACCTACAAGTTTCAATGTGTCCAATTTAGACCAGGATAAAAAGGGAACTCAGTGCTAGATCAGATTAAAAAAATGAGAAGGAAAAGGAAATGAGAATCCCTAAATACTCTGGTCACCTTTGCAAACATCTTAGGGGTGAGCAGCACAAAAAAGAGAAAACATCTTGTTCTACCTGGGGAATCAGACTAGGCAAGCTGTCGCTTTCTCTGAGTTTTCCCAGAGTAAGACCCCTCATAGTGCCTGTAAAGAGCAGTTTTTGTGGAGTGTACAAAATAAATGGAATAAGCTGCCATTGGGAAGTAGTGAGTTATCTACCACTGGAAGTGACTTGGACTTGGAGTGAATCTGAGAATACATAAGGTTAAAGTAGGCACTTGCTAATATTTATGGTCTCTCCTAATTAACTGTGGTTGTTATGTTCTAAGATTTCCAAGAAGCTTGCAGTCTTTCGCATAATATGACTACCTTGTTCTCTACCACATATTTTACTACAACCTGTGCCTATCTACTTCTCTCCATCTCTTCTGACACTCTCCTAGCCCAAAACATCATCTTTTGATAGAATGACCCCCTTTTTTTTTTTTGTCTTTTTCTGTTTTTTTTCTTTTTTATCGGTACCCGGGATCAAACTCACGACCATACACTTGCAAGGCAGGCGCTTATGCCACTAAGCTAAATCCCCAGCCCCTCAAAACATCATCTTTTGAAGTGAATTGGGCTACTGAGTGGACACCTACGAGGTTTCCTTCATTAAACTTGTACAACCAATTAGTATTTAAATGTTATAGTGTTAAATAGACTTCTTGCTTAAAATCCTTTAGTAGAAAGGAGTAAGAAAAGAACAAGGAAGAAGTAAATTACAAGTTGTTTAGAGATGATATCACGGTTTAGCTGGGAAAATATGAAAACCAACTGAATAACTTGCAAACAAGAAAAAAATTTCCTTCATTGGTTGGGTAAAATTCAGTCATAGAAAAATTAATTAAAACTTGCAAGCAAACAAGCAAGATCAATTTGGAAATAAAATGGAGACAACTTCATTAGCAGTGCTCTAGATGTTCCTCAAAGCCTCATGTAGTCATAAGTAGGGGCTTTTTTCAGTAGTGGCTGGATCTAGAGTGTGTGATGTGAGCTTAAGGGTGCATGATTACTAAATCAGCCCACAGATGTATTTAGCGCCAACCTTAATCCCAGTAGACTAGATAGAATATACAAAGGAGCAGAAAGAAGCTGCTAAGGTCATTTGTTGGCTTTCTTGCTTGCTTTGCTGTCTTCTGTCATTGTGAAATTGTTTCTCCTCTGCAATGCCTGTCTGGAAGGTCACAGTGCCTTGGAACCAGCTGGTTATGGGCTAAAACCTCTACAAACTGAGTTAAATAAACCTTTCCTTCTTTAATTTTGGGTGGTAGGTATTTTGTCTCAGCAGCGAGAAAAATAAGGCAAATGCCAACAGAAAAAAAAAACATATAAGGGAAAAATAGATATGAAATGCATAAGATCTAAATTGGAAATGGTGGCAAACATCTGTAGTCCTAGGATTCTGAGGCAGAAAGATTGTAAATTGGAGCCTAGCCAGGACAATGCAACGACTTAGTATGAACCTGCCTCAAATTAATTAATTAATTAGTTAATTAATTAAAGGTACTGGGGATACATTTTAGTGTGAAGGCTTTAGGTTAAGTCCCTAGTACTGAAAAAGAAGAAAGGAAGGAAGGAAAGAAGAAAAGGAAAAAAGAAAAAGAAAGAAAGAAAAAAATCATAAGATTTATATTAAAATGCTAAGGAATATAAAAGATGTAAATGCTTAGAAAGGAAGCCCCTGTTCATGGATAAAATGCTTAACATTAGAAATAGTATTAATGGGGCTGGGAGTTTAGCTCAATAGCATCAGTGCCTGCTTGACAAACACAAGGTTGTGAGTTTGAACTCCAATACCAAAAAGAAAGAAAGAAATACTAGTAATACTTTAAAGCTCTACTAATACACATCCCAATTGAATTTCCATGTAAATTAGTAACTTGATTCTCAAATTAATATAAAAAACAAATGAGAATAGAAACAAATGTTCAATAACTGCTTACTTAGTAAGTGCTATATAAAAATCAAAAGGTCTATCTGAGAAAATTCTTAGCTTCAAACCACATTTTATATACTACACTAAAACTCCAGACAAATAAAAAATTTAATCATTATTTTTGAAGTATTAAGGAAAAGAAGAATTTTACAATTTCAGGATGACAAAGAAGAAGAAATAAGCTGCCATTAGTCAGAGATGATATGGTTGCACATATAGAAAATTCAGAAGATCTGTGGACAAACAATTAGAATTTAAAAATGAGTTTAAGAAAGTTGCTGGATAAATGGTAGATATACAAATCAGCTATATGTCCTACTATGAACAACAATTAAAATGAAATTTTTAAATATTTATTTATTTATGTTTGTGTAGGGGACTGAACTCATGACTTCACACTTGCCAGGCAGGCACTTATGCAGCTGAGCTGAATCCCTAGGCCTAAAATGAAATTTTTAAAAAGATGACATTTACCATAGCATCAGAAATTTCAAATATGTAGGAATAAATTCACATCCAAAAAGGAAGTAAAAGATTTCCACCCCAAAACTATAAACTTTTCTGAGGGAAATTGAATAAGAACTAAAGAAAAAGGCTGCATGAAATTTCATGGGTTAGGAGAATCAATTAAAAAATTATTTTTTATTTTAAAGTGTAAAATTACACAGAACAAAACAGATCATAAGAAAACAATTTAAGAAGCAGATTTCAAAGCAAGGCCATGGAGATCTTCACTCTCTATCATATTGTCTCTTGTTTTCTTCCAAATAGTTGTCCATATCTTCACACACAGTGAATACATACTGAACAATATAGTATTAGACTGATCAGAACAGGATGATGAAGGCGTTTTTAGGTCTTCAAGACCAGACAATAGGGGAGTCAACTAGGGCTGCCATCATGTCTCTCATTCTCTTTGA